TGACACCTTCATTATCAACTTAAAGTAGATTTAAAAAAAAATGTTTCAAAAACAAATCAGTGTAGTGAAAGACAATTATTTTTGTTTTAAAACTTTTTAACAAGATTCTTAACTTAATAACTAAAGTATCAATATGCCTTTAAGATATTGCTAACACAGTAATCATAATAAATTTTCGCATCTATAAAAAAATGAAAAAGTTTCATTATTAAAGACAAACTTATATACATATATATATATACATATATATATATATATATATATATATATATATATATATATATATATATATATATATATATATATATATATATATATATATATATATATATATATATATATATATATATATATATATATATATATATATATATATATATATAATACATATATATATACACACACACATATATATATATATATATATATATATATATATATTTGTATAGATTTCGATATATAGAATATATTCGAGGTTAAGTATTTTGATGTAATAATACGAAGTCTCTTGAACGTGTTACAGTGCTCAATATTACTGAATAATAGAGCTATATATAATTATATTTAGATGAATAAAAACAACTGATTAGCGGGACTTAAAGTTTCATGCCCGAAGGCAATCATCAGCCGTTAATACAAACAAAAAACGTAAACAAACCGTATATATATATATATATATATATATATATATATATATATATATATATATATATATATATATATACAAACAGGGCCGTGCATAGGATTTGGGGCATCATTTAATTTGGGGGCCTGACACCCCTTCCCCCCTCCCCCAATCCTCATCCTCCTCCTCCAAAATAAAAAAAAGCCTGCTCAAATTTTTTGATTATATTACTGCTATATAAGTATAATTAAGTAACCCAGCTTTTGTTTCTTACTCTATTATTTTTCTAGTCCTTTATTTTGAAAACTCTTCACATTATAGAACTCAAGATTTAGTGCTAATAGACACTCGGTACTCAAAATGGCAAGATTACTTCTTCGTTTTTGTCCCATAATTAAGCGCAAAAAATTCTCGATGAACTTCAACGCTCACAAGATCACTGTAACTGGAATTGAAGCCAAAATACACAGTGCAATCACTACATTTTAAAGGAGTTTCCCAAGCTTTATTTTAGAAACTTTGCCTAATAAGTTGAATCGAAAGTTTGGAAATTCAGAACTGATTGGAGTAGCTGCAGATAATTCGACTTATTCTAAAATTGCATTATATGAGCTCCTTTACATTTAAAGGAGCTAGCATGTTTTAGGGGACCTCTAATCTCAGTTTTTGTTTTAGGCGTGAGATTCAAGCTGTACACTTTTTCCAAACAATTAAAGATTTGGTTTAAGTGATCAAAGAAAGAGGAAATGCTGCCAGATCTCTCAGTTCATTAAGTTTCAAATTTCCCATGCAAACACACATTATAGAGGTGTGCCTTTGCATGAACACATAGAGGTGTACCTTTTGCCACTTTTGCAATATTGTGTTGTGAACTAGCAAACAAGATTGTATACTTGGTTAAAACAGTTCCAAAGTAAGTTTCAGCATCTGTACAGTTTGAGGCAGAATTCTATCAAATTCAATGAATGACAGCCACAGGGTGAGAATATAGACAATAGCTTATTCATTTTAAGATTGCTTGAACACCCTTGTATTGTCCTGACATGTTGTCTTCATACTCCATAGTCTTGGCTACGGCGGTCTTTAAAATAAATTTTCAAAGTTTCCAGAATTAATCTTGCAATATCAGACCTAGTCTTCAAAATTTTTCAGGTTTCTGTTTTTGTAAATATCGAATGACAAACGTAGATTGTTCAGTATGGCTTACATCAGGAGTGGCATTAGTTTTAGTGGCCTAAAATTCATCAAGAAATAGAACCATATCCAAGATTCCTTCTAGAATTTTTCACCAGCTGGCTGTTTTATTGAGGATTTGGCGATTTAAAAAATGTTCAAATGACTGAAAAACAAATGTATGTATGTATAAATATATACAATATTTAAAATTTCATATAAAGAAATACAAAGATTTATGAATTTCTAGCAACATGTTTATTTGTTTATACTTCCTAAAAATAAAATAAAATCTAAATCTATCCTTTTTTAATTGCTTAACAAATTTTTTTCGAAATGACATTCAACTACTCCTCGTTGTGGTTTGGGTTTCTTACCTATGATATGGATAACAGAAGTTTGTAAACTTTGACTGTTATACTTCCAAGCTTTGACTGTTATACTTCCAAGCTTTGACTGGTATACTTCCAAGCTTTGACTGTTATACTTCCAAGCTTTGACTGGTATACTTCCAACCTTTGACTGGTATACTTCCAAGCTTTGACTGGTATACTTCCAAGCTTTGACTGGTATACTTCCAAGCTTTGACTGGTATACTTCCAAGCGGTGTCACTATAAAAATATTCAATCCTTATACAATAAGTAAAAGTTTGAGAAAATAATCATATTATTTAAAAACTTTGGCATATAAAATTCGCCGAATGGTCACACACGAGCAGCAAACACTTGAGAGAAGAAATGAAGTACATTAGAATAAAGGAGAATTATTTATTAGACAAAGCATATTTTGACAGTTGTCAAGACAAAAATAAAGATTAATAGAGGAATATTTAAAATAAATAAGACAGGCTATACAACCAAAACAGTACTCAACAATAATAACAATAAAAAAAAAATTAAAAAAATAAAAACAAATAATAAAAAAAAATATATATATATATAAAAATAAAAAAAATAAAAAAACAAAAAAAATTGTTTTATAAATACCAATATGAACTAAAATATACAAGAAATACATAACCAGTCAAAAATTTGTAAAACAATAAACCATTCAACAAATTAAAAATATGCTAACAACAATGAAAGGACTATGACTAAAAAAACATTAATGCTAATGTGTAAACATAATTAGTGTAGTGATTAAGTAATAAACATCTCCTCAGAGTCGCGTCTATTATTACTGGCGTTTCGATGAGGATCAGCATTTATAACTAGTTTATCCCGTCAGACAAACGTCATCGCCACTTATACTTTACCCCGCGACTTATTAATAATTATCTAAGCCACACTGGTCTGGAACCATGGACGTTAAACTACAAATAAAAGTATACATTTTACAATTTTTCAGCAGGCTTTGTTGACATATCAACTTTTTTGTTTCAACCCTCTAAATCTCCCCCTATTGTTATGCAGAACATCCATTAGGCTCAACCCTTTTTCTCAGATGAGATGTTATACAAGTATACATTTTTCGCTATAGAGATTCTCGATCGTTTCGCTGTTCGCTTGACAGTGCTCCGGTATTCTACTAAAAACTGAAAAATTTTGTAAAACAACTTTTTAAAAAGAAAATTTTTTAAATGGACTAAAAAGTAAAAATAAATTTTTTTTCAGGATCCAAGGACTTTTTGTATATACATAACCTGAAATATGCATTAAAGTTAATAACTGAAAATGTTAGGCGTCTATCGGATCAAGTTGTACTCTAAGCTTGAAGTAGGGCTACTAGAGACGGTCCTGACAAAAATTGCCATAGTTTTGGGCAAAATACAATTTATAAAAATTTATATAAACAAATCTGATATTTTTAGTGATTTCTAAGCTGAAAAATTAAGTTGTCATAAAAATTCTTTGCATAGTAATTTTTATCAAAGTACTAATGGTCAAATAAATAAATTAAATTGGAAAAAATGCAAATGTCAATCAAAATATATCCAATTTAAAATAATTATAATATCAAAAAAGGATAGATCACACAAAACTACAAGTTAATATTCAAAGGAGTTAAACGTTTATCAAATAATTTAATTTAAATCAATTGTACTCGTTAATGCATAACATAAAATGTATCTTAAAAAAGGTTATAAAACAACAATTACTGTGTTTTTTTCATAAATATTACTGTGTAATTGTACTGTGTATTACTTTCATAAATATTACATAAAATATTACTGTGTTTTTTTCATAAATAGTCAAATCTAATTATACAACATTTGATTGCTAATTTTCACAAAAAGTTGAAAAAACCATAATCTTTGCACAAAGTTTTCAAATTTATGTCGAAGAATCAAAAATCAAATGTTTATTAATTTTTTATTTATTGATATAACCAAACGTATATACATAAATTGATATAAATATAAAAAACTGTATTTGAAAATAAATATATGTATTGATTTGAAAATGATTTATAAAAGTTTATTTAGTTCAATATATATTACAAACATACAATAAACTAATTTGAAGATATGCAGATAGTATCATAAATATATAATTTTACTTTGTGTTAAACTGAGAATACATTGTTAAAAACCTTATATTCTCAGTAAGTCATTCTATAATACATTATAAGTCATACAATATATTCTCAGTAACTTATACTATAATACACCATAAGTCATACTATATTCTTACAACTGAGAATATAAAGTTAAAAACTTTATACTGTCATAAGTTATACTTTAATATATATTCCTTTTTATATTCTTACAACTAGCATATAAAGTTAAAAACGTTATATTCTTAGTAGTAATATTAAGTTTATATTCTTAGTAGTAATATTAGTAAGTAGTTGTTGTACTATTTAATAAATCATAATTAAACTATTTAAGGCTCGTGATATTTTAAAACTTCAACTCTAAAGTTTTATGGGGTAGCATGTATTTTATTAAAAATGCATTGTTGCAGTTCATTTGCCTTAAAAAAAGTTATTAAACTGATTATAAAATAATCCATGATTTTTTTAAAAAAATAAACTTGATTTTTTAGATAATCCATGAATTTTTTGAAAAATAAACCTTGTTGAGAACCAAATTGCAGCGTCATTTAATGAAAGTAATAGAGCACTTCCCACATAAGTGAGAGGCTCCGAGTTTGATCCCCACCACGTCCCGAGTTGAATGCTAACCGAGTTGAATCCCGATCACGGTAATACTGCGCTTAACTTGTTTTTCCGCGCAGCGCCCTTTTTCATCAAAAAGTTATAAAGTTAAGAGAGGTTTGTAACCACAACTAAAGTAGCATCCTTGACTGTAGAGCCCTTCTTGACCTTCAAGAGGTGAACTAAAATTGAAAAAAAAAAAAGTTGATCTACTATAGCAAACAAACAACTAAGTTAATACTGCTACTATCAGGTCAGACTATCATTTTTATTCTACTACTGTGCAATTCAATCAAAACGTCAGCCTTGACGTCTAAAACTAACTTTAAACAAACCCTAATAAATTTGGTATAAAATGAAAATGTAGATAACTGCAGTTTTTAGTTCTGACATTAAATTTATTATATCTTTGTGGAAAGTAGCCAAAATTTGTTGAAAAAGAAGTGTCATCTATGTAGCAAATTCTTTTCGGTAACTATGTTGAACATTTATAGCTCTGTTGCAAGCACCTATATGATACTGTGCCTTCAACTTCTACTTAGAAAATAAAACTGGTTCACTTGTAACTCTAAAAATAGGAAGTAATTCATGTTTTACCTCTCCTGTGCTTTATAGTGCACAGTTTATAGTGCAACTATACCGTCACATCCGGTGTAATTTTTATTTCAAAAGTTTTTTTTGAGCCATAAGACTTGACACTGAAAGTTAACTCTGTGAGGGTAGTGTATGGGTAGATTTTTTTGAAGTAAAATATCTACATGCATAGCACATATTATGGTGTCAAATATTACAGTGTCAGACGTGACCGTCAGTGTCAGACGTGTCAAGCTTGAAATTTTTCAATCTGGCACAAGCGGCCAAGTTATCAGTCGGCCTGTATGTGGTGGCAAAATTTGCTACAAAACGAAAACAGGTCAACTATGTTGGGGTCATAGAAACATGTATTAAGGATGATGTTGAGGTTTTGTTCCTCAGAAAACCAACTAAACCAACTAAAGTTGGTTGCCTAAAACTGATATCGTGAGGATATTTTCAACCCCTATTATTGACAATTGAGGTCATTATATGTTTGATGAGGACCTTGATGCATCTTAAACTGCAGTGAACATAATCAAAATTGAGAGTTTTTGGTTTTTTTAGTTTCATAATTTTGTTCATAGCGATGTTTTTTTGCTGCACGTTTAGACTTGTAATGGTAGACTGTCATGTCTGACACTATTAATTTAGTTAGCTGTATTGAATGCACTTGTTAAGGATGGTTCAAATAAACACATACGAATTTTGTTTATCTCAGTAAGAGTTTTGAATAAATATTTAAGCAGTATTGTCCTTACTTTTCCAGAATTTGCATTTAGAGTAATGAAGGATGCAATTCAGCGAATTTTACATTCTCAATTCTAACTTTTTTTACATTGGTCCAATGTATGTAAAAACATCGCGAAAAGTTGAGTGTTTTTACGATCTAAACCCAACGTTGATATATATATATATATATATATATATATATATATATATATATATATATATATATATATATATATATATATATATATATATATATATATATATATATATATATATATATATGTATATATATATATATATATATATAAAGAAAGTAGAATTTAATAAAAATTTAATTCCGAATAATATTATATACAACGTTTTGCCAATTAAAATTTAACGTTTAATCAACCTAAATACAACGTTGTGCAAACTAAAAATACAACGTTGGGTCAACGTATAAAATAAAACGTTGAATCAACCTAGAAAATACAACCATTTTCCGACTTTGAATAAACGTTTTATCAACTTTGATTTTTAGTTGTTGGCAACGTCGCATTTGTAACCACAATGATATAAAAATAATTTTTGCATTAGAAAGAAATTTTCGTTTAAAAAGATTTGTATATAACATATTATAAACGCTTTATGCGTTTATAATATGTTATATACAAAAATTTAATTCCAAATTGCAACATTATTGAAAACGCGACAAAACAAGACCTTCTCGCGGGATCCCATGTTAGTTTTTTTTTTTTTTTTTAATTTCCATATTTTTACACTCTGTAACCGATCATAGTTAACGTTAAAAACTTGATGTGCACAAAAAAAATTCAGGAAGAGGCGTTTCTCGTTAAACATAAATTTAAGAGGAAAATATAAGATTTTGTCAGTTCAAAAACTCGACTAATCATTTAACTATATGTATTTATCAATGCCTCAGTAATCAGATAAAACTTTTAGTTTGTTAGCTTTAACAATATTGGTATATCATGTCTCAGAATGTTCTAACGAATTTAGTTGATTAGATGCATCGCCACTGTGACGTCACTGTGTATTTGGCCAAAAAGAGCTCATAAAACTAAATGATGTAAAATTAGTGCCAAAAAAGGTAAGTTAAATGAGCCTTATTTTGGTCAACATTCAGAAAGTTTAATATGTTTTTGATGGGAAACAGATTTTTTTATGGATTTTTTTATTAAATAAAAGACATTGTGCTATTTACTTGGTATTAGGACTGGGTAAAACCCGGAAAACCGGGTAACCGGTTTTACACTGTTTTTTTTAATTATTAAAAAAGTGAATTTTTATTATTGAT